TACTTGCTTAATAAAGGTATGTTGGGTGGTTGAAGGGGTCAGTAGGGAAAGCAGATTTCCTCAGAATGAGAATCTTCCAATAATAGCTAAGACAAATAATAATAAAATGTATACAGGGGGCTCTTATATCATTGGTTAATATACCTTTTTATATATAACATTTTCATATAATTTATTTAACCATGGTACAGTTTGTCATAGTTTATGCTGTAGAAACCAGCAGGCTTTATTTCACTCACTCTTTTACAATCTATCTAGCAATTTCTAAAAATCTAACTCCCCTTATTTTAAGCTTTAGAACTGGATAATAAACATTTCCAAAGCAAGCCTAGTATTAACCACATATTCCTGTAACATTACTACTTTTTTAATCAATCACTTTGCTAATAATTAGGATGCATACCATAATTCACAGCATAGAAGGATCTCTTTATCCATATTAAGAACTAAATTCCCACCCCACCTCTTTCCCTCAGGAATGTATGATTTTAAACTTGATCCAAAAATGATGTGGTAGTTTAATGACTAAATATATATATATACTTATATATAAAAATTATATATTTTATATTAAAATTATATATAAAAACATATATATAGTTTGTTAACCAAAGAACAAGAATGAAGAGAATGCACTGCAATAGAATAGTATGTTCTTTCTATTAGATGGAAGTATGAGATAACTAGATGTAAGAGTCTTTAATCAGAATATGCAAACTCTTTAGCGAATTCTTACCAAATAAATATTTCTGACCAGTGTGTGTACAAGGAAAGTAGTTTGCCTTCTCACCCTTCATATTTCTGTATCTCTGTCTTTCTCTTTCTGTCTCTCACTTTCTGGAACTGTACAAGTCAGCTCTAATATCTTCAATTTGCAAAACTCACCTCAAGAAAACTCAGAACACAAAAATTATAATTATTTAATATTAATAATTTGTTATTTGGCAAAAAGATTCATTTAAGAGTTTTTGCTTACTTCTTTTAACTTTCTGATGTAGAGAAATCCAATTATATTAATTTTAAATCCTGAAAACTTATTAAATTCTTATTGATGCTAATACATTGTATTTTTATGATTAATCATGCATAGAATCTTTTAATAACAATAGTATAGTTTCTTTCTTTCTACTGACTCTTTATAACTTCTATTTCTTCAATTTTTTTAATACTCTGCTTAATACCCACAGGACAATATGAATGAAGCAGTAGTAGCAAGGTTGCTTTCTTGCTTCAGATTCTGAAATGAATGTACTAAGTATAATGTATGCTGAGTGTTTGTGGGTTTTTTCTCAGAAATCCCTTCTAAAATTCTTTTAAGTTCTCTTCTATATCTTAAGTTAATAAACAAAACATAACCAGAAGAGATGTTGAAATGTGTTATTGAATGCTTTTTCTGCATGAGAAATGAACATTTACTTTATTAGTTTCTGCTATTGTCTTTATTTTCCTTCCTTGTATTTTAGTTGTAATTTGCATTTTTCCCAACTTCTTGAATTGAATACTTAGCTTTCTTCTTTTTAATTTGAGCATTTAAGCTATACATTTCCTTCTAAGGAACCCTTTAGATTTGTTGTACAAGTTTTAAGAAATTTTGCCGCCTTTTTTCTGAAAATATTTTTGTTTTAATGTCTCTTTATTAAATATTATTGTTTCTTTCAACACTGGATTTTTTAGGTTTTTTTTAAAGAAGTGTTTTCTAGTTTTTGTTGTTGTTTTTGATTTTTAACATAATTGCACTCTGTTCAGATAATGCCGATGATCAGTCCTTGGTCATTTCTTTAGACTTGCTCTATGGCATAGTTGTACTCAGTTTTTCCAAGTGTTTCAAATACTTGTAAAAAAAGAAAATGTATTCTCCAGTCAATTGATATGACATTTTCATATGCCTTTTAGATCAAGCTTATTAATTGCCTTATTCAAATCTTTATTTCAAATTTTTTTAGTTTCCCTACACTGATGGGTACGTCCATTTGTTTCTTATAGCTATTTTCACATATATTTTGAAGTTACGTTATTAGTTTGCATTAAGTTAAGAATGGTTACATCATAGAGGTGTTTTTTAAACTTTTGTCACTATGTAGTGACTCAATACTTGTTAAAGGAAAAATCATTAAAGTCCAATCTGTTGATATTAACATAGGAATCTAAATTTTTGCTTATATTTGCCTGTATTATCTTTTTTGTATCTTTATGCTTTTATTCTTTCTGTGTCCTTAAATTTTGTGTCTTTTACTATAGCATATAGTTGGATTTTGTTTTATTATCCATTGAAAACCGTTAACTTTTAACTGGGGAATTGAGTCCATTTATTGTGACTATTGATATATTTGGATTATATCAACCATCTTAATTATTACTTTCTACATGTCGTAATTCCCTGTTTTTTTCCTTTATTGCTTTCTTTTTTTTAAATTAGAGACAATCTTTAATATCAATATTAACATCAAATATAAATAGTATAGCTACACTAATTAATACACTGGAATTGAAAGAATATTTTTATTTTTATTTTTCCCATATGGAAATTTTTCTTTTTATTTTTTTAATTTATTGTTGTTCAGTTACATTGTCCCACCTTTTTTCCCATTGCTCATCCCTACTCCAGCCCCCCTACTCCCACAGTCAATTATTGCCTTCTGTTTGACTAATTGCATTTTATATATTCATTTCATTTTCTCTGTTAATTTAGAAACTATATAAAATATTTCTCTCTTTATTTACTTAGATATTTTTAACATGTATACTTAACACCTAATGTTAACTTATACCTTTAATATCTTCCTGACACTGTAAGTATATTAGATTGGCTTTTAAAACTCTGATTCCCCCTCTGCTTTAAACGCTCTTGTTGCCTTGGATTTTTGGTTTGTTTTCAATACCATACATAGTCTTTCTCCTTGCAGTTTCCTCTGTTATCTTTTCTAGCTTCTGCTCTTTTGTCAGGCTCCTTCCTGGTCCTCACCTCCTTCCTCCACTCTTCCCCTGGGAAGTGAATGTAATCTGCTCAACTCATAATGCATATGTATCATTCCCTGGCTCTTGAGTACCAGGCTACAGTTTTTAACACTGGATCTATATATCCTACAATCTGCTTGAGATCTTTACCCTTTCTTATAGACATTTCAAAATTAATAATAATTCAGTTTTGGAGTCCTTTCATCCATCTTTTCCTCACATACCTCAGATCTATTCCTTTCCATTTGGGCACTGCAAACTTATCAACAGTTCAGTTTTGGAGACCTTTCATTACCAGCCTCCCATACCTTAGATCTGTTCTTTTCCATTTACTGTCGTAATAAATTTCATTTCTTTTTCCAACTTACTCATTCCAGAAACCTGGTTCATCTTATGACCTCATCATTTTTTGACAAACTGGGCCTTCCCTTCACCATCACTACATTCAAATCAACCACAAGGTTTAGTCAGTTTTACACTCAAGGAGATCTTAAATTTGTTCCTTTATTTACACTCCACTGTCAAATACTCTAGTCCAAGCTCTAACACATCTTACCTGGACCACTACAAATTCATTACACTTGTTAATTAGTAGCAGAATCTGTTACTTAGAATCATGCCACTGCAAACTGGATACACCATTGACATGTCAGTTGGTTTCCCTGCTTTCAATTATTTATATCCCTCATCACTCCACATGGTGGGTATTACAGTTTTTGAAAATGGTAGATCTAATCATGTAATCCCATTATCTAAAAGCCTATAGTGCCTCTTGACTCCTCCTATAAGAAAGACCAGATTCCTTAAGGTGTCCTACAAGTCCATGTATAATCTCATGGTTACCTCCCATCCTTGTCACTGCCCCATTTCTTACTTCATTACAGTCATACCAGCCTTCTCTGATCATGGAACCTAAAAGAACAATTTCTTCCTAATTTAGGACCACCACAAATACTCATTCTTCCCAGAATATTTGGAGGATCTTCTTTTTTCCTTCCCCCTTTCCAAATATACACACACAAACCCAATTCAGACCTATTATTTTCCACATCCTCCAGATCTCAACCTAAATGTCATTATGGAATAATGTTCTTAAGAAGTTCTTCCCTCATCATTTTCAAGATGTCCTCTCAGTTATACCATCTCAAGGTGTCCTGTACTTTTCTATCACAAAAGCAATTATAGAGTGAATGTGAATGTGTGTGTGTATTTGTTTAATGTCTGCCTCCCCATCAGGTGGTAATTTTTAGAACGTCAGAGACTGGGCCTATTTTTGTCACCATTATGTCCTACTACCAAGTACACATGGTACTTGGCACATAGGGCACTCATATATGTTGCATGAATGAATGAATGATTATATGCTAGACAAGACTAGGGGAGCTGGTAGTGTACTTCAACTACAGGAAGAGCAGAAACTTTCATTTACCTCTTTTTATGCATAATGGAGCACATGGTAGATAATCACTAAGGGTTTGAAGAAATAAAAGAGGGAAGAGAAAGGAGAGAAAAATGGAAAAATGGAAAATGAGAAAGGAAAGGAAATTGGAAAGGGACCAGAAAAGGTAAACCTAAATTATAGAATTATAGTCCTTGATAACAAAAGTTATATCAACCTCCCTATTTCTCACTTAAAAAAAATACTTGAATAATGGCTAGAAAATTGTGATTATTAAAAAAAATGAAAGCTCTTGGCTAGGATAGGGTTTTTTTTTGCTAGATAGATTGTTGATAGATTGTTTATTTGAGAGAATAAAGAATACCAGATAGGGTTACTCTCAGAATGCCCCCTTGAGCATGTATTTTTAAATCAAAACCTAACTTTTTCAGTCTCATAGAGTGAAGTTACATTTTTATGTTTCATTACTTAAATTTATGAATAGCTACTTAGTATTGCCCCCACCACACACACAAAAAAAGATTTTCTTTTGCACACTATTAATTGGAATATGTGTAAAAGTATTTTATAAATTACAAATGTATACACATAATTATTATTGATTGGGTATAATTAATCATTGCCTACTTTATCCCAAAAATTATAGAAAAATATGTCGTAACTGCAAGTGCGGCCAAGAAGAGCATGATGTCCTATTGAGCAATGAAGAGGATCGAAAAGTAGGGAAACTTTTTGAAGACACCAAGTATACCACCCTGATTGCAAAGCTAAAATCAGATGGAATTCCCATGTATAAACGCAATGTTATGATATTGACCAATCCAGTTGCTGCCAAGAAGAATGTCTCCATCAATACAGTTACCTATGAATGGGCTCCTCCTGTCCAGAATCAGGCATTGGTAAATAATAAGTGGGAGGGGAGTCCCTTTATCAAAGTTCCTGAATTACTTCTTTAGGGCAGTTTCTTTAGTTATCTAATCATCCTCAGGTCAGTTATTTTTCTGGGATTTACATTACTCTGACTTTCAACTTCTCTTATAGTCTTTTGAAAGTAAGATTAGATACTTCATAGAATTTTTCTATCAAATATGTTAAACTTTTTGAGGGAATGACCTATAATTCTTAATAATTAGATGCAAAACAGATGTTTTCTACAAATCTAGTGACTCTTCTAGCTTATGCTTGAGAATATTTCTTTTAAGATAGTAAATAATATCTACAGAATAAAACTTCTATCATTATTTAGAACTCCAAACATGTTCAGCACCATATTTATTTTACTATGTAAGGCAAAATAAAGGCATTACATATTATGTGATACTCCTGTTTTAACTAGATGAGGCATGTGGAAGTCTTTTAAGAAGGTTAGTTAAATCATCAGAGTGAATCTTGTGATAATTTTTTAATAATGAAAATGCTGTTTATCCAAAAGCGATTCTAAACATGCTGCCTAAAAATTTGTTCTCTTACAATTATACATTGTGCATTTAGGACAAGTAAAGATAAGTAACCTGAATCTTTTCATAAATTGAAGAGAAAATCTTTAATTTCATGGAGAAATATGTGTTTATCTTTATTGAACTAAATCTATTTGATGTACCATTTTTGAATATGTTAATATCTCAGGACATTTATATGATGAAGATAATTTGTTAATAGATAAAGCCAACTTCTTTGTTAAGTCACATGCTTCTGATGTGTACTGAGTGTTGCCTGCCTGACAGCCAAGGCACCTCCCAGTTAACACTGATCTCCTTGTGGTTCAGGCCAGGCAGTACATGCAGATGCTGCCCAAGGAGAAACAGCCAGTGGCAGGCTCAGAGGGGGCGCAGTACCGGAAGAAGCAGCTGGCCAAGCAGCTCCCTGCCCATGACCAGGACCCTTCAAAGTGCCACGAGTTGTCTCCCAAAGAAGTAAAGGAGATGGAGCAGTTTGTGAAGAAATACAAGAGTGAGGCTCTGGGAGTAGGAGATGTCAAACTTCCCCGTGAGATGGATGCTCAAGGCTCCAACAGAATGTACATCCCTAGTGGAGACAGAAGCACCACAGCACCAGTGGGGACCATGGAGGACAAATCGGCTGAACACAAAAGAATTCAGTATGTGAGTAGAGTGGTCACACCATTGGCCCGGTTGGTGTATTTTATAGATATTGTCTCTTTCTTTGAACCTTTTTGGAGTCCATTCCTTTGTTTCCAAAAGGGAGTAAGGGAAATAAATTGAATTAAAATTCAGTTTATACTGATTTTAGAAAATCATGTTTGAAACCTCTGCCTAAAGCCAAGTTTTCTTATTGTTGCCAAGAATAATTATGAGTTTTAGGTAAACATAATAGTTAGCATTAGTGTCATTCTGGAACACAGCATACTAATTTAGAATCTGTTTCTAAACATAATTTTGGTGCTGTTTATCTCTTCCCATAAATAAGAATAATATATGGTTAGGTTAATTCAGTTTTGTTTGTGACATCGTACCTAAAATTCAAACTTAAGTAAATTTATGTGGATATATGCTCCATCATATTTTTTAAAACATCTTATAGAGAAGGAAATTGAAGTCTTTTTTTAACGGCTTGAAGACAATTGTGACACCAATGACCAAAAAATGAGAACTAAATTTAATGTAACACATCTCTAATAGATCCTATTAGTACATCAACCAATAAGACTTAGTTTTGTTTAAAAAAACACTTTTCAGAAAGTACTAATATGCTCTAAGGTAATCATGTTTCAGAGATCCACTCAAAATTTAGATGAAAATGACAATTAGCCATTTTCCATAAGTTATTTTAATTCAGAAACCAATACTCTGTTACATACAGATTGCAACAATGAGGTTTGAATGACCTAGAGAAAGCCAAGAGATTTTGTTTCACAGAATTATTTATTAACACCTTATTGTTTATATGGACAAACTATTAATTTCAGTAGAAATTATTTCTTTTGAAAGTTGTTTCTGTGAATTTTTACTAAAGCTGCTGATGAGAAATGCCAGTCTTATGATGGCTAGATTGTTTTGGATGGATTTCTTTTCAGTCCTGCTACTGCTGCAAACTGAGTATGAAGGAAGGTGACCCAGCCATCTATGCTGAAAGGGCTGGCTATGATAAACTGTGGCACCCAGCTTGTTTCGTCTGCAGTACCTGCCTTGAACTCCTGGTCGACATGATTTATTTCTGGAAGAATGGGAAGCTATACTGTGGCAGACATTACTGTGACAGTGAGAAACCCCGATGTGCTGGCTGTGATGAGGTATGTTCTCTAAGGCGACCTGCATGCAGGCTCATTTTGTACCCTCACATGGCTCTCTTACCACTGTAAGGCAACTCTTAGCAAGAAGCTGACATGAATTAGCCAAACATCATTTAATTTATTTATATCCAAAGAAATTGAATGAAAAAAACTGTTAATTTCAGTCATTCTGAGTACTATATTAATTGTGTTGACTAAGAAAAAAGTGTCCAGAAACATAAAAGATTGATTTAGACTAAACTAAATAATAACCTAAGTTCAAGTTTAGGTTACTTTCAGACAAGAATGTAAGCTGATATATTTGTGGATCTAATTCCCTTATTATCTAAAGAACATAGCTTTGTTATTTGTAGCAAAAATATATACCTCTCTTAATTTTATCCTCTTTCCAGCTGATATTCAACAATGAGTATACTCAGGCAGAAAACCAAAATTGGCATCTAAAACACTTCTGCTGCTTTGACTGTGACAACATCCTAGCTGGGGAAATATATGTGATGGTCAATGACAAGCCCGTGTGCAAGCCCTGTTATGTGAAGAATCATGCTGTGGTAAGAAGCAGTCTAGGGATATGTTGCCTCAGCCTGCTTTATGATTTGACTTTATGCCTTTAAGTCTCTTACAAGTGAGAAACAGAGAGCACTACTCTTAAGTAGGAAACATATGATTCCTACCATAGGGTGTTAAAATCCAGATAATTCAAAAGCAATAAATGTGTCTACTGTCGCCTATCTCAAGATTTCTACCTGTGCAGTTTACACTGTAGATTATAAATGGTACTCAATTATCAAATCCCTATTTTCAAAAAAATTTCTTAATGAAAATGAGATTGCTTGATTCTCATCATATAGATAAAATTCCATTTAAATTAAAGTTTCTAGTGGCTGATCATATTTTTTGGCTATTTTATGATTCTGTTCATATTACTAGACCATTACTAGGACTTTGTTTTTGCTGCTTGGAATGATTTATTTGCATGGACCAAACACTCAAGTATTCAACGAAAGAGTACATTTTTTTTTCTTGAATCTGCCCTGCTTACACAAAGCTGCTATTGCATGATGGCCAGGAGATAATTGAGATAATTTAGATAATTTAGTAAATTTAAAAAGTTGACCACATATGGTAAATCTTATAAGCCAGGGGATATTAAAAGCACAGACATTTACTTCTTTGTATGAAGAAAATACCTACCAATTAAAGGTTTCCCTGAGCTATCAGGTAGAAGAGACTCTGGCTAAGAAAGAAAATGACATATTTACATAGTTCTAGGGGAATAATAATATGAAAATAAGGTAACAAGTTTTGGGGTCAATGCCAATTTTCAGTCCTTGCCCATTGTCCCCAGATATAATTAGTTATTTTTTTTTAATCAACTCTGCCTCATCCATCAATATATCTCAGGTCCTCACATTTACAGCTACTATACTTCAGACCTTTATTTCTTGTTATTTGGTTTGTCATACTGGCCTCAAATATGGTCTCCCCACATCCATTCTTGGTCTTGTTCAAAGCCACCCTCCATAACAGTGGAAGATAATCTTCCTAAAATGCAAATTTGATCCTTAAGCCTTTGCTTAATAGATCTACCAGTCTCTTCTTGCTATTTATCTATCATCTATCTATCTATCTATCTATCTATCTATCTATCTATCTATCTATTTATTTATTTATTTATTTTCCTTACCTGAGGGCATGCCTGTTGATTTTAGAGAGAGGGGAAAGGAGGAAGAGAGAGAGAAAGAAATATCAATGTAAGAGAGGAACATTGATATGTTGACTCTCGTATACAACCCAGAACAGGGACTGACACTGCAACCTAGGCATGTGCCCTGACTGGGGAAAATGCACAACCTTACTGCCTATGGGATGACACTCCATCAACTGAGCCACATCATCTGAGGCTCTCCTTACATATCTAGCTGCTTCTACTCTTAATCTAACCCAAATCATGCATTTCCACAATTTAACAGTATTTTCTTTTCTTTTCTTTTCTTTTGTTCAAATACATTTGTCTCCATTTTCTCGCCACCCTTCCCCTGCCCCTCCCACCTCCACTTCCCACCCTCAATTCTTCCCCACTTTGACTTTGTCCATGGGTCCTTTGCATTTTCCTTGACCTAACCCTTCCCCTTCTTTTCCCTGTTACACCCCCTCCCACATTCCCCCTCATTACTCTTGGTTTGCTTTTTCTTTCAACGTTGCTGGTTATATTTTTCTTGCTTGTTTGTTTTGGTGATTATATGGTATTTGTCTTTCACTGCCTGGCTTATTTCACTTAGCATAATGCTCTGCAGTTCCATCCATGCTGATGCAAAAGGTAGTAGCTTTTTATCTTTCTGCTGCATAGTGTTCCATTGTGTAAAAGTACCACAGTTTTTTGATCCACTTATTTGCTGATGGGCACTTGGGTTGGTTCCAGCACTTGGCTATTGTAAATTGTGTTGCTATGAACATTAGGGTGCATAGCTTCTTTTGAATTGGTGTTTCAGAATTCTTAGGGTATAATCCCAGCAGTGGAATTGCTGGATCAAAAGGCAGTTCTATTTTTATCTTTTTGAGAAAATTCCAAACCATTTTGACAGTGGCTGCTCCAGTCACCGCATTCCCACCAACAGTGGACTAGGATTCCCTTTTCTCCACAACCTCACCACCACCGGTTGTTTGTTGATTTCTTGATGATGCCCATTCTGACAGGTGTGAAAAGGTATCGCATTTTGGTTTTAATTTGCATTTCTCTAATGGCTAGTGATGATGAGGATCTTTTCATATATCTCTGGGCCCTGTGTTTGTCCTCCTTGGAGTATGTCTGCTCAAGACCTTTGCCCATTTTTTAATTAGATTATTTGTCTTCCTGGAGTGGAGTCATGTGAGTTCTTTATATATTTTGGGGATCAAACCCCTATGTGATATATCATTAGCAAATATATTTTCCCATATGGTTGGTTCCCATTTCATTTTGCTGATTTTTTTTTTTTAGCTGTGCAGAAGTTTCTTATTTTGATGAAATTCCATTTGTTTATTCTTTCTTTTAGGTCCCTTGCCCTAGGGGACATATCGGTGAAAATATTGCTGTGTGGAATATCTGAGAGTTTCCTCCCTATGTTCTCCTCTAGGACTTTTAAGGTGTCATAACTTATATTTAAGTCTTTTATCCATCTTGAATTTATTTTTGTGTGTGGTGTAAGTTGCTGGTCAAATTTCAATTTTCTTGCTGGTCAAATTTCAATTTTTTGCATGTAGCTGTCCAGGTCTCTGAACACCATTTTTTGAAGAGGCTATTTTAAGCTTCTGTCCATTTTGTCGAATATTAATTGGCCATAGCAACATGGGTTTATTTCTGGGCTCTCTATTCTGTTCCATTGATCTATGTGTCTGTTCTTATGCCAGTACCAGACTCTTTTGATTACAGTGGCCTTGTAATATAGTTTGATGTCAGGTATTGTGATCCCACCTACTTTGTTCTTCTTTCTGAAAATTGCTGCAGCTATTCAGGGTCATTTATGGCTCCATATAAATTTTTGAAGTGTTTGTTCTATGTCTGAGAAATACATCATTGGTATTTTAATAGGAATTGCATTGAATCTATAAATTTCTTTGGTAAGTATGGACATTTGGGTGATGTTAATTCTTTCCATTCATGAACATGGTATTGGCTTCCATTTATTTGTGTCTTCCTTAATTTCTTTCTCAGTATTGTATAGTTTTCTGAGTACGGGTTTTTTAACTTCTTGGTTAAGTTTATTCCTAGGTACTTCGTTTTTCTTGTTGATATAAGAAATGGGATTTTTTTCCTAATTTCTGATTCTGATATTTCATTGCTGGTGTACAAAAATGCATTCGATTCCTGAATATTGACTTTGTATCCTGCTGTTTTGCCAAATTCACTTATTAGGTCGAGTAGTTTTTTGGTGGAGTCTCTGGAGTTTTCTGTGTACACTAGCATGTCATCTGCAAACAATGATAATTTTATTTCCTCCTTTCCAATTTGGATGCCATTAATTTCTTTTCCTTGTCTGATTGCTGTGTCTAGGACTTCAAGTACTATGTTGTACAGAGGTGGTGAAAGAGACACCCTTGTCTTCCCATCTTAGTGAGGGAGCTTTTAGTTTTTTCCCATTGCGTATGATGTTGGCTGTAGGTTTTTCATAAACGGGCTTTTTTTATCTTGAAGTATGCTGCCTTTATTCCCACTTTCCTGATTGTTTTTGTTGTAAATGGATGCTATACCTTATCAAATGCTTTTTCTGCATCTATTGATATGATCATGTGGTTTTTGCCTTTCTTTTTTTTTTATGTGATGTATTATGTTTATTGATTTTTGAATGTTGAACCATCTTTGCATCCCTGGGATGAATCCCACTTGACCATGTTGAATGATTTTTTTAATGTATTGCTGGATGCAGTTTGCCAATATTTTTTTGAGGATTTCAGCATCTATGTTCATCAGCAATATTGGCCTGCAGTTTTCTTTCATGGTTGTGTATCCGTTTGGGGGATTAGGATGATGCTGGCCTCATAAAAAGAGTTTGGAAGTCTTCCCTCTTCTTGGGTTTTTTGGAATAGTCTTAAGAGGACATGGGTTAATTCTTCTTTGAATATTTTGTAAAATTCTCCAGTGAAACCATCCGGTTTTTGTGTGCCGGGAGTTTTTTGATTGCTGCCTCAATTTCACCCGCTGTTATCACTCTGTTCAGGTTTTCTGCTTCTTCTTCATTCAGTATTGGAAGTTTATATTTTTCTAGAAATTTGTCCATTTCATCGAGGTTTTCAAATTTCTTGGCATATAATTGTTCATATTAATTTCTTACAATCCTTTGTATTTCTGTGGTATCAGTTGTTATTTCTCCTCTTTTATTTCTGATATTATTTGAGTCCTCTCCCTTTTTATCTTGATGAGTCAGCTTAAAGGCTTGTCAATTTTGTTTTATCTTCTCAAAGAACCAGCTCCTGGATTTGTTGATCCTTTGAATTGTTCTGTTAGTCTCTATGTCATTCAATTCTGGTCTGATCTTGATTATTTCCTTCCTCTACTTTCTCTGGACTTTGTTTGTTGTTGTTTGTCTGGTTCTTGTTGCTGTAGGGTGAGGTCATTTATTTGAAATGTTTCTACCTTTTTTAGGTAGACCTGTATTGCTATGAACTTCCCTCTCAGGACTGCCTTTGCTATATCCCATAGGTTTTGGACTGTTGTATGTTCATTTTCATTTGTTTCCAGAAACTTTTTGATTTCTACCTTGATATCATTATTGTCCCATTCATTGTTTAATAGCATGCTATTCAGTCTCCATGAGTTTGAATTTTTTGAGTTTTTTCCTTGAAGTTGGTTTCCAATTTCAAGGCTTTGTGGTCTGAGAAAATGATTATTATGATTTCATTTTTCTTGAGTTTGTTGAGGCTTGTTTTGTGTCCTATCTTGTTGTCTATCTTTGAAAATGTTCCGTGTGCATTTGAAGAGAATGTGTATTTTGCTTCTGTGGGATGAAAGGTTCCATATATGTCTGTTAAGTCTTTGCTCTAATGGGTCGTTCACTTCCACAATATCCTTGTT